TTTTCGAGACGCATGCGGACGGTGGCACTGGGGCCTTCGGTGGAGTTCCCTACAGGGCCACGAAATTCTGGACTGGATGGGTGGAAGTGCCACAATGGGTGTTTCGGGACGCTTGCGGACGGTCCCACTGGGGCCTTCGGTGGAGCTCCGTGTGGGCCCACGAAACGATGCACTGGGTGGGTGGAAATGCCACATTGGGTGTGCGGGACGCATGTGCACGGTGGCACTGGGGCCTCCGGTGGAACCCCCTGCAGGGCCACGAAACGTTGTAATGGGTGGCTGAAAATGCCTCATCGGGTGTTTCCGGACGCACTCGGACAGTCCCACTGGGGGCTTCGGTGGAGCTCCCTATGTGGCCACGCAGCGCTGTACTGAGCGGGGGGGACGCATGTGGACGGTAGCACTGTGACCTTCGGTGGGGCTCCCTATGGGGCCACGAAGCGCTGTACTGAGTGGGGGGGGCGCATGTGGACGGTGGTACTGGGGCCTTCGGTGGAGAAATCATTTAAAAAAAGATAAGATCGTAAATAGAATAAAAAAGAAAAAATGACGAACAAGGAGACGATAGATAAACCACAAAAAGGCAAAACAAGCTCCCTATGGGGCCACGAAACGCTGTACTGAGTGGGCGGGACGCATGTGGACGGTGGTACTGGGGCCTTCGGTGGAGCTCCCTATGGAGCCACGAAGCGCTGTACTGAGTGGGGGGGGGCGCATGTGGACGGTGGCACTGGGGCCTTCGGTGGAGCTCCCTATGGGGCCACGAAACGCTGTACTGAGTGGGGGTGACGCATGTGGACGGTGGCACTGGGGCCTTCGGTGGAGCTCCCTATGGGGCCACGAAGCGCTGTACTGAGTGGGGGGACGCATGTGGACGGTGGCACTGGGGCCTTCGGTGGAGCTCCCTATGGGGCCACGAAGCGCTGTAACTGGTCGCATGTGGGCGGTGGCATATGGTGCCTTCGTTGAGCTCCTTATGGGCCACGAAGCGCTGTACTGAGTGGGGGGACGCATGTGGACGGTGCACTGGGACCTTCGGTGGAGCTCCTTATGGACCACGAAGCGCTGTACTGAGTGGGGGGGGGACGGATGTGGACTGTGGCAGTGGGGCCTTCGGTGGAGCTCCGTAGGGGGCCACGAAACGCTGTACTGAATGGGGGGGACGCATGTGGACGGTGGCACTGGGGCCTTCGGTGGAGCTCCCTATGGGGCCACGAAGCGCTGTACTGAGTGGGGGGACGCATGTGGACGGTGGCACTGGGGCTTTCGGTGGAGCTCCCTATGGGGCTACGAAACGCTGGACGGGGTGGATGAAACGCAAGGAAGAGGGGGAGGAGGGAGGAGGAGGGAGGAGGAGAGGAGAGGAGAGGAGGAGGAGGAGGAGGAGGAGGAGGAGGAGGAGGAGGAACGCGGGGACCGTCTCTTCAGAACGAGGACCCAACAACACAGGCTGGTTGGGGAAAGTGCCAGCTGAAAACATTCGCAGCCGCATGTTGCTCGGAAAACTGCCGAAAAAAAAAAAAAACAGTGCCCGGCCCGGAGGCGTCCTTACAATGTTTTCTCGTTTGACTAACCTCGCTGCAGCGTGCGTGAACACATGACCTCACCACAAATCACCTTAACACTCGACGTGTAGTATCTCGGCGAGACACCACAAAAGAACCGACCCCAAAACCACCACATTGCTTCGCAGGCGCGGGGGGGCCACAGACGAAGTGGGAAGCAAGAAGACACGATGGCTTCATCCATCAAACTTCCTGAACCAAGAAGAGGGCCCGGCCGGCCCTGCGCGGTTGCCAAACACGGCACCAGGGAACCCCCATACAACAAGACAACCGATGCGAGGGATCGATGCCATGCGGGACCTTGGGGCAGGGGGTTGCAAGCCACCCTTGCAACTTCAAATCGGCGGTCGGTCGGGTGAGGCATAACATGCATTTGACACGTCTCGGGCCCGAGACGACCCGATGGGCCGACGCAGACTTCGCCACCTCAACCTTAAGCGCCCGCTCCTTGCCCCGCATCTCTGCCTCGGCCGCGCGCGCGGCCTTGGAGCTGGGGCCGTGGAACTCGGGTGTCCGCGACGCTATGTGGAGCGCGACATCTGCCAGGTGCCCTGGCACCTGTATGGTGAGCCCATCTATCCTGCATACATCAACGACAACATCGCCAGGGAGTTGGGCCCTCCGAGCTCTTTCCTCCGCGGCCGCGCCAGCCGCCCCGTTGGCAAGCCAGAGCAAAAGAGGTGGGCCCTCCTTCCGCTCGGGCGCAGGTCGGGCGCGGCCCTTTACTTTCACCATGGAAATTGGCCTGTCGCCAGCCACTCAGCCACAACTCAGAACCAGCGCCGCTGCGCAACGTCCACGGGGGCCACATGCCCACGACCTCGGTGGAAAGTCCTGATCGTGATCGACGAGTGGCAGCAAGCGCGGCGGACCCTCGGGCGCGCCTCAACGCCTGAACAACTCCTTCGAAGTCAGCCAGGGGAGCGACCCATGGCCCCAGCCGAACTGGATGCCCCCCCTCATTATGGAGAGAAACCCAACAAAAACACCACCTCAGCCCGGGCTCGGACGAGCGCGCCCCCCCCCGACCTGCCCGCCCCCGCGACAACGCCCCCCCCCCCTCCCCCCACCCAGATCGATTGGCCCTTGTCTGAAGCTGGGGGAGAGCACGAGATCGCTAGGGGCATCATCTAGAGTGGGTCCGCTCGTCCATCTGACCGGCGGTAGCCCCCTCCCTCTACCAGAAGCACGGAAACACTTCCCACCCGATCGCCGCTTCCTCGAGCAACTCAAGGCGAGCGACCTCGATCTCCGAATTAAAGGGGGCACTCCCAGAGCCGATGGAAGGTCGCCCCCGAAGGGCCCACCCAACGCGGGAAGGCAGGGGCTGCCCAGAGCCTAGCCCCCCCCTCCTCGGGGGCAGGCTGCCATCCTGCCCGGCCTCTACGTCCGCGATCTCGGACCAGTCCAGCTCGCCAGCGTCAGCGCGTGCCAGCGTCGCGCCTCGCGGCGCCCCCAGGGCGTTCACGGCCGCCAGCGGGGCCGCGGAGGAAGAGACAGAAGAAACAGAAACAGGCGCAGCGGCGGCGGGCGGGGATGGGCGGATTGATACCCCGCCGAACCTGCGGACCGCTGGCCAAAGACCACCTGCGAGGACCAGTCTCAAAACTGCTGCGCGGCCCCATTGGCCACGGCGCTCAAGTCCTTTCACGCGACGGCTGGGCAACGAGAACGCGCTGAATTCGAGACTCCCGCCGAGATGATGATTTGCGGCCTTGCCCCGAAGCTGGGCACCCAGGGAACCTCGTCATTCAAAATCGATGGGCGTCTCAGGATCGCAGCCACGCAGATCGAATCTCTCGTGTTCGGGCGAGATCCAAATACACGGCTCTGGCGCCGCCCATTCTATGTCCTGCAAGCAAGCAATGACAGCAGTGACGGGCCCCCTAACACGATTCTAGCTGCGTTGTTTCTGACGCCAGTTGCTGCCAGGCCTTTTTCCCAGCGCAGGCGCCAGGGGCCGCCGGGGCGATTGCAGCGCAGACGGCAGGAGCTCGCA